CCCCACCGTCCCTCACCTCTTGTCAATGACGTCCCTGGCTCCCTACTCCTTCCTCTCTTCTTCCCGCAGAATTCAACTAACCTGATCATTTTATAATAAACAAACTAATTGCGCTCTAACAGCACATACTTTTTCGCAATATTTCTAAACTTGCAATTTTCAAAATTTTAAAGAGCTCAACGAAAATTAGACCCACGTTTTTCTTTTAAATATCATTGGTTTTAATAATAAATAAATTAAAAACAATGTTAAACGGATATTGTAAAAATGTTAAAATCTTTTGCAAACGTGCCAATATTTTGCGTCAAATTACACAAAAACTACTGATGTCTTCGAAAAATTGAATAGGAACTTATTTTAATATCTGCTTCAAGAAATAGATGTCATTAAGGAAAAATCTTTATCTTCAATGTTTTAGTAGTAGGAAAACACTCCCAAAAAATTGGGCTTTTGCACTTTTAAAATAATCTGGGATTTTAATGACCATGAGGTCTGCACCATAATATTTTAAGCTTCCTTTACGCTATCCGCGGACAAAGTTTGATTAAAAAGTTAAATCCCATTTTTGAGAGCATTTTGGAAAACATTTTGAGGCTTCATGCAAAGTATCCTCAAAAATCAAAATATCTGTTTGAAACCCCCGAAGCCTCGAGTGCATTCAGATCCATCGAGGAATATCATTTTAGAAGAAAATCGGCTGAAGGGTTTAGGCGCTAGCGTTGCCCACTGACGGAAGCCATTGACGTACAGCTGTCAATCAACTTTTCGGTATCACTGTATCACTGTGTTCTGTATCACCCACAAACACGGATAGTGCCTACACTACGTGTAAGAGGATTTTCCCACTATGTTTAGGAACAGTATTTATACACAGTTTAGATAACAGAGGTTTTAGTTTTTCTGCCGAAAATTCGCTGTTTTTTCGCGAAGCATTACATAACTTTCTCTTCTTACGAAGTTCCTTCGTAAAGGCGACAAAGTAATACATTTGTAGACAAGTATGTGCGTGCTGTTCATTCAATTTTAAGTATATGATGATAACTCACGATCAAAATCGTTAAATTATGACACATTTTCCCAATATGTGGATGAAAGTCATCAATGTGACATTTCGTGAGGTTTGCATGTACACAGCAATTTAGATGATATTATAGTTGTCATTGATGCAAGAAATTCCTTTTTATAGTCATTATAGGACGTTTGTATAATGCTTCTAGAAAAGACTTTCTAGATACATTTCAAAAAAGAACTATTATTTTCATTCTTCAGTACAAAATCCATTTAACATCTTTGGTCTTTGGCGACTTGAGAATCCAATGAAATTTGTATCGTGGATCAGTATTAAATTTGTTTCCCTCATCCTCTTGAGATTGTCATGAAAAACGTTCCTCGTGCCTTATCCCGGATTATAGCTTACATCATTAATACGTATGAAAAATTGGTGACAATATTCTCTATAATGTATTTGACGTTAATGGAGATGCAAACGGAAATCGATAGTAATTAAAAGGCTTGCAAAAATGGAAAACGAATGCGTTTTTATGCGTCGACATTTTACTGATATGATATTTTACACAAAAATGTAACATAAATGCGCGCGCGTAAATTTTTTTCTGAATTCTAACTCTTGTATTTTTATTTCCAAAGCAATAAATAGTGTATCGGAAAATAAATACGTACTATAGTGATGAAACACCATTACATCCGTGTTGCTTACGACTCACGACAATTTATGCGTTTATGTACTAATTTTGTCGACACTTTTTTATTAATACGATATTATGTTTGCTTGAAAAAAATCTTATATTTAAGTCAAGGTAAGATACAGTTTTAGATCTATAGATATACATTTGCAAATACAAATAAAAAATGAAAATGCTCTTTAACTTCAAATAATCGGTAGCACGAGTTAATCACCTTTAAAATGAGTATTTTTCATTTTTTTAAATTTTAGTCTAATGAAAATATAATTAAAATTTCTAATTTTGCAAAAACGACCTCCCTAATTTTTGGTAGTGTATTGTAGGTGAAGAGGTAGGAATATGTATTTTGACCCTTTTTGTTTTGAGACATACAGGGAGCCTCAATAACCATAGTTGAAATAGTGAACTGCAGTTTCTTGCAATGTTTAGAATACTATAATGTGCTGCATTAACCTCAACGCATAGATTTTATGTAATATTTGATTTTCTGCCATGAATACCTTATAAATTGTGAGTTCCTTCTGTGTCCATCGTCATGATATAAATATTAACAACAGTTTTGACAGATTTGTCGTATGTCAAAATTACGAAATTGTGTGGATGCAAGGATGAGATCTCGCTCAAACACTTCCAATATACCTGTGTTACCTGAATTTTTTATTTGGATTTACAAAATTATGGCCTTGAAACAAAGACTCAATAATTTATGTATAAATTCTGTGTCACTTATATTACGAAAATACCTCGTGTTTAAAAAGAACACCTTTAAAGAGCGAAAGAGTGGAAAGTTTGCTGGGAACTTAAAATTGTATTCAAAGCGCCACTAATTACGCACATTCTTTAGCATAATTAAACTTTATTTTCTCTTTTCTATCAAAGTGACACTTAAGTGTTTTTAAATTACGCTTTATTGCTTTTCTCTTGATAGCGTTGAGCCGTCAATCTAGTCTGCTAAAGGAATTTAGTTAGGTAAGAATCTACATTACCGTAATAAATGACATGATGTTTCTCAATAAATCGAGTCGGCACGTTTTTGGTTCAACATGTGTGAAAAGCAGTAGGGTAATTACGCGAGTAAAAGAGTTTGCGGTGAAATAATTATTAACCCATTAAATTAATCAAAAACTTAGAGAAAGACGGCTTTTCAAAATGTAACATTTGCAATTTACATAAGTATAAACACAAATTTACACAAAATAAACATTTCAACAATATTGCGAGTTTTGAGGTAGAGTATAATGACATAAAGGAAGAGTAAATTAATACTTGCATACATCTTCTACCACTTTCAGTGAGTCAGAGCATCTGTTGATGTCCCTGCGGCATCTCTAACAGGGAGGTCGTAGGGTTCGACATCCGACTGAGGCATCGTCAGCTAAATAGTTTGGTCGATGCAGCCCCTGTTTGAAAGAAACTTCTAGCGGT